AGATAGATAGATAGATAGATAGATAGATAGATAGATAGATAGATATAAAGAAAGAAATATAGATCTAAACAGAAACAGAAAAGAGAAAGATAAATACATGTATAAGTAGGACATACCTGTGACGCCATCCAACCATGAGAGCAAAAGGTTTCATAAGTACAATAAATGTGAAATAAAGCAAACGCCAAAAGAACGGGAAGTTATAAAAGAGCGATAAGAAATAGAACATGAACAAGTTTGTCGATCCAAGTAAAGCAAATTAGGCATATTCTCTTGCTACAAACCGAGATATAAAGGAGACAAAGAACTATAATTAAGTACATCTGTACCGTAACATAAAAAACCAAACGGCTTTCTTGGTTGTTTATTGTGCTTCCATGTTTCCAGATATTCTTTGTAGGGAACGTGCCGCTTTATTTTATTCGTTGTCCTTTGCAGGTGGCTACTGACTCAGTACTAATGTTGTTTGATGCTCGGTTGAGCGAGAAATCTCTAAGAGAAACAATCACTTTATAACTTTATAATTAATAGATTAATAGTTCCGCCGCCGAGAGGGCTTTTGCGTCAGCTTAATTCCACTTGTTCATAGACAGGGATTTTTATTTCAACTTTTCTATTTATTTAAGCTTTTCTTGAGCAAAAACATATCAGACGGAAAGGTAAATGACTGCATCACATCCACAACAACATCACGGGAAAAGTGCGAGGGTGCGGTAAAAAGGGAGGGGGAAAACACACACACATTAAACAGAGCAAGAAAAAGATAAGTACCAACGCTTACATAAAAAAAGGAAAAGGAATTTTTTTTTCTTATACCTTAACACATGAACTATATTGTGTTTGGGTTGGGTTTTTTAAAACTGTTGTTCCTTTTTGTTGTTGTTTTCATGCGATTTGTTGGTTTTTGTTGAGGTTTGTTTGTTTGGATTTTTTATTTGTTTTCTTACCTTAGTTTTGGCCTTTAGAAAGGGGAGAGGCGGGTGGGGGCTATGTGTTGGGGAAATGCGAGTAGTGATTTGGAGAAGTACTTGTTGTTTTCTGAGAGTGGAAAGAAGCGAGATGTGGCAAGAATGGGAAAGGGTATGGATGATGAACGAAACAAAAAATATCTTATTTCTTATTTTTTATATTAAATGTATACTTTCACCTTGGCATTTATTGTGTCATGTGAGGTTTACACGACTTACTGGTTAGTCTAGCTTTCTCGATAAAAATCTTACCTGTGTCAACGCATCGATGGGATCTTGAGATTGCCAAACCTTGATTCTCGAATAAAATCACAGTGTCATCCTCAGTGAGAGTCCAGGATAGTTCACCCTCACTTGACGCTCCATCATAGATCTATCTAACGGGAGTTTGGTCCATAAAAACTTGGATGAGAGAAAATCTTCTGGCGCAACAAGTTTCTGTTATCCCCGCAGCCACGGAGACTCGCAGCTAGCGCTCAACTGGGCTGGGGCGGAGCCTTCAGTGCCGGCCGGTGTAGTTTTATGGAAACTTGTTTTGTCTCTGTTTGTGAAATTAATTTCTTATTCATTTTGGGGTTTCTTGGTACGACCGTTGTTTTGGAATTAAATTAGAGGTTGTTTTAACTGGGGTTTACTTTATAGTATAAATTTTGAGAGACAAATTCAGAGACAGTCATTATCCAATCATTGTAAAAAGAAACAAATTAGCCATATTTGACCTTAGCAGTTGCGAGCGCCGTAAAACCTTATACTATACTATACAAATTAGCCCAACATGTCCACGTAGCCTACAGGCCCTATTGTGTTACTTACATTTTAACCATTAATACTTTATATTTCTGAACTAGTGTGCAGCGTTAACAGTTTTCGACTTCGTAAACCACTAGCATACCTCTTTGTAGTAACAACGCAGCGCCGAAACCACCGATTTTACGTCAAAAAGGACATACCCAAGAGGGTGGAGACCATCACATCCACTCAAACAACAGAACTTCGAGAACCCCTTTCAGAGGACTAAAATCAGGTTCGCCCACATCACACTCCAGCATGTCACCTTAACGTAAGCCTTAGGAACTGACGGCACACCTTGTTTTCAACAGCCTTCTCAGAACAGCAAAGGGTAATAATGGTTGTAAAGCGCATAGAGCATGCTCTTGAGCATGGATATGCGCTATATAAATGCAATTATTATTATTATCATTATTATTATTATTATTATTATTATTATTATTATTATTATTATTATTATATAAAACTGGCCTGATTTCCAAGTACCACCCCCCTTCCCCCTTTTCCGATACCGGCACGACATAGGCCAGTGAAAGTAGATCCATTAAAATTCTGTAGACCAATGTCTTCTTTTTTATTTGCATTCACCTGCTAGATCTCATGGGTATTTGACTGCTGTTTCTTCAACCTGCGGTGCCATTATTATTACGTATATATATATGCCAACGTTGTTCCTATTTCGTAGGGACCCTGCTTGCTTTCAGGCAGCTACATATTTAACATAAATATTCTGATTTCGAAGGTACTCGAAGTATATGTTTTTATACTGAATATTTTCAGTTTTGTTAGGAATTAATATTGAATTTTGCCCGGGTGGCGGCCGAAGCCTACTCCTGTACGATTTTACGACCACCAAGGGGTTTCCGAGCGCAACTTACACTCGGAACTTCTAAGATTTTGCGCCGTAATCCGAGAAGGCTAGAAGATGTGCGATCTTACCCACCCTCAGATCCAGGATGTGACTGACAAACAGCTGTTAAAAGGAGCCAGGATGCAAAAGAAAGAGCCAGGCGTAAAGGAGAGAGGAGTCCAGAAGAGGCCATAGGTTGAGGGGGGGTGGGGGTGAAGACAAATGACAGAACATAACTAGAGAAGAAAAAGGAGGTGAAAGAAGAGTAGAAAGTGTTATCATCGCAGTCAGGTTTCGAACCCGAAACCTTTTGAATGAGAAGCGAGCACCAAACGTCTAAACCACGAGAGCCCCTTTTGACCAATGTAAGTTCGAGAATATCCTGCTAGTAAGATACCAACTGAGTGAACTGAGTTATACTATTAAGCAGTTCAATATATATACTGCACCACTGGAAACAAAATAGTATGGCAGCTCTGGGGATCTAAAAAGAAATGCACAATATGTGCACACCACCGAATTGACTGTCTGACTGTAATGGAAAACGAAGAAAAGGGGGAGGAGGAGGAGGAGCAGCAGCAGCAGCAACAACAACAACTTTTATTAGTAAATTGTTGTTGTTGTTGTTGAGAGTTCCAACTTGTTTCGAACTGTACTCTGGCATACGAGTTGGGCAGGACTGTTCTTCTTTGCCCTTCAAAAGTCCTAGTGTTTTTAACATGTGCAATGTATACACAGTACTACTGAGCCTTTCATGCTCTTGCCAGAAGACTTATAACGACCAAAGCCATCTACCCTTGGAACAATGATGAGGGAAAAATGACAATAAAAATCTAAATTACCACACAAGGCCTTAAGCTACTCGTACTTTGAAAAAAGGAAAGCACCTTTCAACTCTGTGACTACTTTTAGGCGTACAAACCCTGTTCTTGTTGAATGCAGTGTAATAGATTGCTCAGATTTAAGAGTGAAAAATACAGAAAAATAGAGCTTTCTGGTAGATAAGTATAAAGCAAATCCAGTGCTACATGCCAAGAAATTCAGTTTTCTGCAAATCTCACACAAACACACGAATATAACATAACACTATTCTCACAGGTAAATGACATTCGATGAGATTTTGTTGTAATATTGAAAGCTCAAATCTGTTTAATAAGATAAGATATAGGCATTGAACGGTTCAACCAACACATTCAATACAATCATATCACTACTGCAAATGCAAGGAGAAAGACATTTCACTTTTTGAACTCAATGGCACATCATAATTGACAACAATATTATTTCAATAATTTCATTGATATAAGGGGAAAAAACATTATATGCCAAAAGCTACTCTATACTTCAAGAGTCCAGCAAAATAAACAAAAATTTTAAAAATCAGCAATGTATAAAGTTTATCTCATCATTCACAACAATCATTATCAAATTTAGCTCTCATTGGAAAAGATTACTAGACTGATCCTGCACAATAATGCTTTCATTTAATAAAGTGTTTCAATAACTAAACCGTAAGTCCAAACACATTAAAATTTATAAATCTGAAAAATGTGGAGAAAGATTAAAAGACAAGAGCACCCAAGAGATAGAAACATCAAATTTTAGTAAGAACGTAAAGAGTAAAAAAAATGAAAAGCACATAAGTACTGCGAATGATCCTCCCTAAATACAAGCTACGGCTAAAATTCAAAAGTAAATAAATAGAGCTTTCCCACAAACACTCAGGAATAAAACATGGGAATCCCTGGTCTAGTAATATAAAGAATTACAGCAACTTGAAACATCAGTAAGCCTGCTAAAAAAAAAACCCAAGCAAAAACAGCATGTTAAACTAATACGCAACTTGACTGTGATAACTAATGGACACTCAGTTATATTCACTGATGAAACAATATCAGTCTGCCATAAAATATTCACTGTCACTGACGAAACAAAACAATCTAAATTATACCACATCAAATTCAAATATGTGAAACTCTAAAAATCAGATTAATTAAAATCTTTATCCCACCTTTTCTCTTTGTTCTTTGTATTTATTTCACTTGCCCGTCAAAATAAATTATGAAGAATGTCAACAAATTTCCTTACTAAAAGGATCTGTTACAAACTGAATATGACACTGGTAATATACGAAAGCTCTTTCATAAACCTCATCCTTCAGTGAAGTCTGCCCAGAAACACAGAAGCAACGCCCCCACTTTGGATACAAGATGAAACAAGCAACCGGTAACAAAGCACTTTTATATTTTTTAACTATCACATTTTAAAACACTCACATTAAACATGAAAAAATGTCTAATACAGTATTGATTTTTGCCCAGCAATCAACATTTGGCATGTATTGATATATAAATATATTTGGAATGTTTGTAAAAGCATTCATCGAAAAATAAAAGATAAAAGTATATTATAAAAAGACCACTTTACTCGTTCAGGACGTATTCATTCTAGACAATTAAAACCATTTGGACGTAAAATCTTTGTAGCCTTATGAATCATTTTGAGGATATAGAAATAAAACAGCTTTCACAGATTGAGCAGAAACATTGTAGTTGTAGTTGCAGTAATACATCATTGGAAAGGTAACTGAATGTTGATGTTCACTGATATTATAAAAACAATAATGAAACAGACTTTGGACCCAGTTCAAAGAGCAGGTATATTGGTGACACATCCAAATGTGTTCCTCGGAAATTTCCCATATATTGGCAATATGACCGAGAAGAGTGCTTGGTGAAATGTCCCATAAGACGCATTTGCTAGAACTGAGATACAAGGCAATGAGTAAGGGTCAAAAATCGTTTTTTACAAAAATGGAAATCCATTAAACATTTATGCTTTAGCCATTGATCTACAGATATTTACAAGGCTTTGTGTTTATTCCATGCTAGAAATGTATTTTTGAAGAATAGATGTTTTTAACATAAGTCATCTTACGTTATAACAGAGATTGCATAAGAACCTTATTAGCTGTCAGAGCTTTTTTGTGGAAGGTTTCTATGACTCATTTATAAAAACAAACCTGATCATTCTGCATACCAAAATTTAGGTCATCTTATTACCTAACTCAATCAAGGAAGCGTGCATAATTGTCACAAAACAGTAAGGGGTGGCAAGTTTTGCGCATTTGTATCCTGTTCCACTTCATGAGCAAAGCAAAGCCACTCTTAAAAAGTTCTAGCATTGTCATTGACAAAGATTTCTACTACTCATTCATAAAAATCAACAACTTAACATCACATACAAAAATTCTGGTCAGTTTTTGTCCTTTTGAGTTGTGTATAGTGTGTAGGAATACACTGACGTAGTAAAGGAAGGGAAGCCAAGCGCATACATGTACCCTCCCACACTTCGTGATCAAATGCAGGTCAATTTTGCTAAATTTCTAGTTTGAATAGGCGAATTGGCAAAATAAAATGTTTTAATAGCACTTTGAAACTGTTATTGTCTTAAACTTCTTTAAAGTTGCACTTTGTATAGTAACTGTGTTATCAAAGGTTTTGGACACAAACAACAGGGCTGGCTGATTGACCAATATTATTAGGAGTAGAACTGGATCCAGATCAAAGAAAAATTTTAAGTTATTTTTCTCAAAATTTTATTACGCCAGCAAACCTGACAACATTAACAAGATCTCATAAAGTACTAAAGATATCTTTAAAATTTTAAAAGCAATTAATTCAGAAATGATTTTTGGACCATAAAATGCAATAATAAAACACAATTCTTCAAAATGCGTCATACAGTCTCTTTCACCAGGCACGTTTGAGTACATCAAAAATCTTGTCATTGCAACATGATATTCACTCTAGTTTAGTATTGTAAAAGTCTATTTTTATGTTTCTAAAAGTAAGTTACTTCAGAACAACAACAGTAACAAATCATTACCTTGACTTCTAGTCTTCGATTGTTTCTGTGGCATGGCAGACTGACATGATAGATGCTATTGACTCAGTGTGCAGGCTGGTCTGTGACGGGACAAAAACAACCATCCATTTTGCCAAACTCGGTTGCTGCTGTTTTTTCACATCATACAAGCTGAACATTTTACATGACATCAACATCATATAATATTCAAAAATTTAAGAGCACTTTTTGCCGGTACGAGTACTCTACCCTCTTTGAAATTAAAAGTCCAAAAAGTCTGTAGAGGTGTAAGTTACTCGAGTCATAAAAAACGGAAGAAAAACCTTCGTGTGAACAAAGCTACTGAATTAACACATTGTACAATATAATGATGATATTCCAACAAGCTTATCAATATTATCAAACAATAAGACTTACCCTTGTATTACAAGCACTTATATTGTATGTAGACTTTAACAGAAACAATTTACCTCATTATAAAAAACAGTGATGTACCAAAAGACTATATTGCCCAGTACCATAGTGTAAAGTTACAAACATCTTACAATTAAAAATGGCTTAAACAAGTTGTGACTTGCAAGATTTGTCTTTAGAAGCTCATCTTTTCTTAAAACTTAAAACAAGTAAAATTAACTAAAAGCAATTGCTACAAATATAAATTCAATGTTCTTGGTACAAAAATTATGGTGATCTCAGAAGGGATCAATTTGGAGTTTTGAATGATTCAACTATCTCCATGTCTTCTTCAACAAAATAGAGAGTGTCAGGTTTCCCAACTACTTTCGAAGTTGAAGAATTATCCACACGAAAGTTGTCAAAGTCAGCATATCCATAGACATCTGTGCCAAGACCAACAAAGCCATTTGCGTTGACATTTGGAACCTGCATACTGAATAGCTGCTGGTTATTGCATGAACCGGTGACAGTTTGGCCCTGGATTAGAAAAAAGACAAGGTATTAGATGTCAGTAACAAGTTTTATTTCTGCCTCTGTAGACCTCATTTCAGTATCAGTTTTGACACTTTAGTATCCCAAATGCAAAAAGAGCTTTGGCATTACATTAGACAGATCCACTGTCTCATAACACATTGAGTGTCTAACTATTAATACAAACCAAGCTTTCTGTTATTTCTGATGGTCTAAAGAGAAACTTGAAGGATAAATGACTGACCCATTTGCAAACCTATATCTTTTTCTATGCAGATTTGTCACTAATGAATATTGTACATCACTTGACAAATTATTTATAAATACAGTTGTAACCTCAGGTGAAAAGGCCCTAGGCGTGTCTTTGGATAATTTGACTACCATACATAAGATCAAGGATCAAGCTTTAATGGGGCACAAGTATTCACATTTTTCCAAGAAAACCTCCTTTCTAAATGGAGCTTCCTGAGTGGGGGACAGGTGTAACATTTCAAAATAACAACCACTTCTGTCCCCAGAACCGTTTGGCATGTAAACTCATACTGTGAAAAATTAGCAAATGAATAAAGAACAAAAGCAATCAGGTCCACTCACTTGAACTGTTAGTGTAAGATGATTCCAGTCTGATACAATGGCCACTTTCTCACGTCCAGAAGTCAACACATTTTTGCCCTCTGAGAGAAAACAAAAAGAACAGTCATTTTTTGTTTGAGTAATGTAGGAGGTTTTTTTTTGCACTCCCCTTGACACAGTTTAGTTCATTTAGGAACGCACTTCTGACCCTGCCTGTCAAGGTCAACTCAGGCTGAGAGGGATACAACATTCATTTGCAGAAAGGCTGAAGATACTCGATAGAAATTCCCTACTCACTTAGGAATTGACCACGGGTTTCCTGCGCTCAGCAGTGAAGCTTCTACCTGCTACACCATAGACGGTAGTGAGAACAGTCAGAAAGTAACATCTGTTTCCTTGAAACAATATTGTGAAGTAAAAACTCAAGAGGTATCCAAAGACCCCAACAAAGTTCTTTCTAACATCACATTTTGTCAGTGAAAGCAATTAAAGTAACATAATTTGAAACCAAAAAAAGTGACATAATTTTGCAGCTACAGGTTAGAGTCCGACACCAATGATATATCAGAAATATCAATTTTCTACTTTCTATACAATATGTATTGTCCGAAATTGGCACTCCACAGCCAAAAGGGAGAAACAAAGTTTTCTCTTGCCATATCTGCCTTGACAACACAGTATTAATAAAACACATTTTGACAACTTTTCATTTGCTTAGAGACTCGAAACCAAGTTATGAATCATACTCATATAAATAATACAGCTTCAACAACAAAGATAGCAAAATGAAATATCCAGTAGTGAGGTTAAAGAATATTTACTTTAGAACAAACATATTATCATCTTGAAGACACAATAGTTGAGGTGAGTTGTAGTTTGTGACACATCAACATAACTCAACTGTTACATGATACCAAGACAGAATTAGTTTATGTAATAGTGAAACAAAAAGCAGAAAGAGCATTCTGAACTAAAGCACAACCTCCCATCCATCTGAAAACAAACATGTGAAAAAAATTCTACTCACGAATGTCACTAGCCAGCAGATAGATGTTGTCATTGGGGAAGATGAAGAAGAAGAGTCCTTTAGCCACGTATGTTTGGCAGCCTCCGTTGTCAATGCGGACTCCAATAAAGACACCATTGGAACCATTTGTTTGACCAACTTTGACATCTACTTGAACCTCCACATCAGTCCTTTAGATTAGAGAAAGAAACAGATTTTAAATGGTCCTAAAAAATTAATATAAATATTACACCATTAACCATCAGGACCATTTTCTTGACTCTGCACAATAACAGTCACCTTTTGCAAGAAACAGAAAAGAAGAAGCTAGCCACATCAGAACATCCACATACAATCAACATCTTGATGAGGACACACTTAACAAATAAAACAACCTTCAAAAGATATTACTGGGTTATTTTGTATCATCCCATTTGACCAACAAACGTCAATTCGTGATGTAACTAAGAGCAGGACGCGTAGTCTAAAAATGAATGTGCAAGCTTTATTTAACTTACAAAGATAATGCCGTTAGACTGCCCCCAAACAATTAAGGAGAGCTGAATTACTCTGCTTCCAGTCTGCACTCAACAAGTTCAGTAAAAAGTGAACTGAATTTCCTTTAAACAGAAAAAAATTGACACAACATTCAATGTTCCACCATGAAATCAACTCCATTTCTTTTCATCTAACATTAGAATGGAAATCAAAACATTGCTTGACCTTAACTGCGTACACCAGCCGCTTAAAAACCGGGCCCTTGAATTCAGTGAAAAGGAAAGCCAGGAAAAAACAGGCAGAACAAACAACAAGAAAAAGTTACATCAATAATTACACATGGCGGATGCAAGAAAAACATCAAATGAAAAAAATTTATAGATAGTCAAATGCTTCCTCATGGACAACAAAAGAACTCACCAGTTAAATCTGCCGAGCAGATTCAAAGAAGAATTAAAGTAGAGTGTCTCTTGACACCAAGCTATTGGAGGCTGGAGCACCATTTGTCTCATGACTTTTCCATATGTCCCTCCCACATTTACTACATCAAAGGAGCCTTGTTGTGGAGCCAGGGAGAACGGTTCCGCTGAGAGAGGATATTCTAGAACAAACAGTAGAAAATTATCACACAAGGGGCAGGTGACCTTATCCTCTCCTTCTTCCATTTTTTTTTCTTCTTGCATTTTCACGCAGTTCATCTTCTTATTCCTATTTTTTTTTCTTCTTCTTCGCTGGGAAAGTTTAGCTTGGGCTTTTAACCTAAAGAGCACAGCTGTTAAAAAACAAAATTCTTTGCCATATCGACAGGCCGAAGGGCTAGAACCCAGATGGCTGCTAGATCGGAAAAGTAAAGAAAGTAAAGGTAAGTAACCTACAGAGCAACAACAATTTTTTGTGTACAATCTTCCAACTAAAGCATATTGCATCATAAGGTTGCCTGATAGCTTATACCGATGCGCCTACAGAGTTCGAACAGGGCCTCTGTCATACTAATGTAACATACACACAAGTCATTCAAGGCCTTTCATCCCTAACACAAGCAGACCAAGCCAACCCCACATTCTTCAAGGCCTAGAGACAAGAAAAACTTGAGTCAAGCCCTATGTCATACACTAATTATGCCTTCATGAACTGGACATCAAGCAAGGTGCTTTTAGAGAGTGAGATGAACACCACATCTCTCTTGATAAAAGAGCCAAAAAGCTTAGCTCAGTTGTACGGAAATTATACTGTGGGATAAAAAGAAATACTCTTTCAAAATTCAACAAAAGAAGGCATTCAGAAATTTGAAAGTCAGACTTGTTTAGTATCTAGAGCTACTTTTTATCTATGTAAATTGCTGCAATGACAGCCAAAAAGAAAGAAAGAATTTTTTTTTGTTTTAACCACAAAAAGGTGCCCAAAAAAAAATTCACAAGTAATCATACTTTCAAAGTCTTCAAAGAAAGGAAGAGGGAAAGCAGCTGGAGGCGGAGGTGCGTCGTATGTTCCATGAGTCCCGGTGGGAACAGTGGTGAGGGTCAACACCTGATCAACCCCTATGGCAACTGTTACTTTCCCATTGATGACCTGAAAATGACAGAAACAAGAGAAAATGTAGTATCCTCATTGTCATGGAAAACAGGTAAAAGCTGTTAACAAATATTTTAATGTGCAGACTTAGTAAACAATACAGATTATAAAACAAAAATTGCTTAAACTCGAAGAACATGGCAGCAAGGTACTGATAAATTCAGACTACTGTAAAAAAAGATGTGAGTATGTATGTGTGTATGTGCGAGTGTGTATGAGTGTGTGAAGAAGGGGGGAGGGGGAGATAAGGTCACAGAGCAAAAAAAATTGCAGAGACAAATTTGTGTAACAAAAACAACCAGTCTACATTGCACGGGTATTTCAGTCTTAAAATCCAATGGAAAAAGCTGGGAGTAAAAGTTCAAATGAATCTTAATCAAAATCTGAATACCTACATTTTAAAAAATTATTCGACCTTTCATTCATCTGTAACTGACTGATCATTAATAGTTCCAATTCAAACTCTTTGTTTCACAAGAAAAGAAAGAAATACTTACACAACATACAAATATACTAAGACATAATATCATCAAGCAAGCAAAAATGCTGATGACTAAAGCTTGTTGCACAAAAGATATTATTTCAGTTCTTATTTTTCTTAAAAACCAACCCAGGATACCACAAAAAGATTATACATCTTCCAGGAAATCCAGCAATATAGAAGATTCAATGTATACTCACTGGCACAGATCCCATGTCTAAGAAGTAGGTGGATGAAGCCCCTGAGTCAAAGCGGAGAACACTTTGCCACACGTACAAAGCAGTCACACCAGCCTGGAGATATATGTTCTTTGTCGTAATGATACTGTATATTGTATATGAATAGCAAGGATGTAAAAGACAAAGGCATAAAAGGGTATTCATTTAATTTTAATCATGTACATGAGGATGAGATCTGGGTAAAACTGTCCTAGTGACTTTGTCCAGTTTGTCAAAATACAATCCATTTCAAGTTAGTACAATGACAGCTTTATAGAAAGCAAATAGACAAGATCAATACAAAGAAAGAAAAAGGAGCATTTTTTTTTGGGGGGGGGGGGGGGTAGTAAGAGTTTTACGGCACTTGCAACACATTAACGTCATATAAGTGCCGAAGATTACAGGTATTACAAGAGAGTAAAAAACACAAAATAGAAAGAGGGGAGATAGAGACGATAGATGGTTAATAGGAAAGGAGCAAACCACACCTGAGCACCCGTCAACCAACCACAAAAAGGAGCAGATCACACTAAAGCATCCACATAAAGAATTTTTGAGCTTTTATACCTCAGAAACAAATTTAAAAAACCAGGAATGTAAACACTACCTCATAGTTTTTCATCTTGTTACCCCTGATCCCTTAAGTTTGCAATAGTAAATGTAGAATGACCTTGGGTACTCTGTACAGAGACCAAAAGCACAAAATAAAAAGCTATAATTTTTTGTGTGTCTTTTACCCCCCCCCCCCCCCCCCCAAAAAAAAAAAAATCCAAAGAAAAAACCAAACAAAATACAAAGCAAAATAACAAATCATAAAGTAACAGAGACCTATAAAGCTGTATCGTTTTCTAGTACACACAAAAATGATGCAACAATCTTACAAAGCTTCCCTCTAACTGGATTGTTGCATTTTCATTAGCCACAGTGTATGGTGGAAGGGCTGGTCGGATACAAGGAGAATGGTCGTGGCTCTGAAATAATTTAGGAAAAAACAAGAATGAAAACATTCACTAAAATTAGTTCAGTCTTATACTCACCCATCTTCCATTCTTCACCCCACCTTCAGCTAAAAAAAACAAAACTTATACAACAAAAGTGAAAAAAAAACCTTTAAAGAAATAATCTTTTTTAACATTTTGAGGGGCCATATGTCACCAGCCCAAGGGCTCAACTACAATCTTAATCCATTGCAAAAAAAAAAGCTTAAACAAATGAAGATTTCATTTCAGCTTGGACAAAAATTCTTTTTAAAAAAATAAATGAACTGTTCCAGAAACTTTTATAATTCCAAGATAAAGTATTTTCAGAGAAAATGAAACCATGGCTAAATTTCGTCACAAAAACTCTATACCAATACTCTGACATTATGAACAAACAAAAGGACTGTCAGAGTGGGAACGAACAGAGCATGTCATAGAAGCAAAAAATTTTAGGAACTACAGGAGCGTACAGGAATGTAGTAACCACATTTAATCAAAATGTTCCCTCTGAGAAAGACAGCAGACAGGATCCTCTGGACTAAATGAAACTCTTGTCTTGTTGATAATTGGGCATAGGTCTTTAAGGAAAAAAAATTATAATACTTTTCCGCCGCAGCAGTATTTTTTTTTTTACCTTGGCATGACCATGGAGAAACTCATGCCTTCAGAATTGTTTTCTCCTAAAAAGAAAAGATCCAGTTAGTTCAGTAAAGTGTCGTGAGTGTCAATCTCTCCCATATGACTTACCATCTTCTCAATAACAATGGTCAAGTCTTTGTGGTCTGGACTTGTGAGGCTCACATAACTGCCACCCTGCTCCAAAGCCCCAACACCAAGACCATGAGGCAAATAGCTCCAACCAATTTCTGTGAACTGGGTGGTATGGGCTGAGGATGGAATAAAGCGCAAAAGTCAGTTAAAACGAGCAAACTTTATGAGTGTTAAAACATTTTTCCACAATCTATTATTAAGGAAAACTTGTAATGCTATCTCATTGACATGCAAATGCAATGAAGTCCAAAGGGGATAGATGGGATTTTTTCCCCTTTGAGATACCTGGCCAGATGTAAACTTTTCAAGCAAATGATCCTATTATATTGCCATACAATATGAGCTCTGACCAGACATCCAGATAGGGCTCTCCACAGAGTAGTAACCACTCCAGGGTTGACGAGCGGTCATCAAGGATGTCCTGTCCCAGGGCAAGCCTTGGTAGAAGCTGTCTATCAAATTCCATGCGATAGTGCTGTCGAAACAATAATTTGATGCATTAAGAAGAATGAAAGAACAAAGAAGTATAACTTAAGTTTTTCATTGCTTGAAAGTTTGATTAGATGAAAAAAGCCCAGAGGACTTGACAATAAAGTCCATTTGCACCCCATCAGCCAGTTAATTTTTTAAAACTTAGAAGTAGGTCAACGATAAATTATCTAATGAACCAACAACTGAAAAAAGATAAAGAGATGTAAACCAGACTACACTTACAATTGCTGTCATCAATATGATTCTTCAATAAACTGCGCCCCCCCCCTTTCAGAAACTGAACAAAGAAAAAATCTGCTTTTAGATAGGCCTACTAAGGAACGCTTAGAGTAATTAAGAACTTTCATATCACTCTATCAGTACTGGAAAGCAGTATACAACTTTTAAGAAGACAAGAGGCATTCTGGCAAGGAAACTACATCCATAAGAATACTTATGTATATCTCAAAAGGACGCTACAAAGTCTTTACATTAGTTTAACTGAATTGTGGGAGACAGGATGACAAGATAATTTTTGTTTCCTCATTCTAAGTACACTTCTAGGTGGAAGTGAAATAAATCAGGATCTTGGTTTTCAAAGACTAAATTAAATAAAGACAGCAGTGTATTCAAATCCCATGTCAAAAAGACGATTTATTAAATATCATTATCACACATGCTTCTGAAAAAAGTTACCTTGTCATTAATCCAGACTCATAATTTTGGTTGAGAATCTGAAAATGAAAAGATTAAAACCACTAAATGAGAAATTCAGAGTTCTGATAATGTTAATGTTACATGTTGTTGCATTATTTTGTATCATTTGTATTACATTAAGTTTATAATAAGATAAAAGTACAAATAATGGTAAGAGCAGCTCTTGCATTTATCGACTGGGAAGTACAGTAATATAATTGTGATTTCATTCTGTTTTCCAGTAGTTCCAGACTGTAACTTCAAGAAGCATTTTCAAAAATTCCAACTTAGCTTACTAAAATGCTGCCTACTCTTTATAAGGAAATAAATTATTGGAAATTACATTTGTTCAATCCAATATGTAAACATTTGCCCATAAATACTGTAATGATATTGTCAACTCGCATTAAAAAAATACCACAGTTCTTATCTAAGTCATTATGACAATGACAATCTTTATTCATCTCACAGGGAGAAATATGTCTTGGTTTGTTAACAATGGCAGTAGATGTTACAAAATTTAGACTTAAGATGCACTCACGCAAACGCACAACAAGACAGGACATTAGGCCAAGTAAATACATGTCTCACGTGCTGGGACAACCCGCTCCGTAAAACATTCTCTCTCTCTCTCTCTTTCTCTCTCTCTCTGTGTGTTTCATTTGTAGCACTGTGTGTTCAGTAACCTCACTGCAGTTGGTACAAATGAATTTCTATATCTCTCTGTTCTTGCTTTTTTGGAAATGTATCGTTTTCTGCGGGTCGATAGTTGAAATTCCGATGTCAGTGGGTGGCTATGGTCACTAAGCATTATTTCCGCCTTTTTTAGAATGTTTGTCTTGTGCAAATATTCAAGTTACTTAGGTCTCTACCAATTGTTCTTGATGCCTTTCTTATCAACTTGTTTATTTTTATAATGTGCTGCCTTCCCAAATCGCTACCATGGCGAGTGATACCAAAATTTATCAAAGTTTCTATTGTGGTGGTGTAGAATATCTGAAGGATGGATGGATTCAGATTGAAAGACCTAAGTTTCCTCAGAAAGTACAGCCTCTGATTTACCTTTTTAACGATATTGTTTACGTGGTTTTGCCATGTACATTTGTTGTCGATTGTAAGACCAAGATATTGGTATGAAACCGTGATTTCAATTGTTTCTTGTTCAATCACGAGTGGTGGGATTGTTGGTATTTCTCTTCTAAAATCAAAAATCATTTTCTTTGTTTTTGAGAGGTTCATTAACATCTTATAGTAAAGCCTTCTATGTAAAAGGAATAAAATGACAAAAATTATTATGTCCAGTATTGAAATATGTGACTAGGTAGTTCCATTGGGATAGACAATAAATCCTCACCTTTCCCTGACATTCAGCATTTCAATCAAACAGACACAGTCATAAGTTTCAATTTCAAATATGCGTAGAGAATTCGGTACTTCCAATAATTCAAATTACATTTATTATGAAAGAAGAAAATGAGTTGACAAAAATTGCACAGCACTGAAATAGTTTGTATATTTTAAATGATTTTTTTTTTTGTAACCATGCAGTAGTGCCAGGAACCGAATCTCTGCAAGCAGCGTTTTAAGAAATTAACACGCATCATCATTTGAATTTTTTTTCGTTGAAGAGGTAAGCAGTCACTGCGAAAGAAATACAACCTGTCAAAGAGCGCTAAACTTCCTCCATGCATCATAGAAAAGAGCAAAGACACCCTAAATCAGTCTCACCCGTGCCCAGCAGCCCCCGCCCACATCATCGTTAAAAGTACTGTAGTCCTCGGAGGACCAGAGTTTCTTTCCCAACTGCTTGACAACCTCTGGTGAAACAACACCTGGGTAGTGGGCACTGAGGACAGAAACACACATTTGCACATGAAAGACATTAGTATGACTGATATATTTATGACAAATAACAAGATCAGTTACTCTGGCCACTTAAAACAGTTTTGGGCAATTACGTATCTAGTGTTGAAATGTAACTGCAGAATAAATTTACAGCACCAGTATCAGGGAAAGTGAGTAGTTTATCATTCCTTCATAGCAACTTGTGGGCCAGTTTTATCATAATAAAAGGGTAAGATATATTGATTATAATTCAAGGCCACTGTACATTTCTAACATAGGCCTACACACTTACTTTTAAAATACCTTCATAAAATAAAAACCAATACATTCATAAAAACTATTTCATTAATGTGATATAAGAAGGTTAATTAAAGGTAACCATGTTTACAGGTATCTCATGACACTTCACACAAAATGTTGGCAACAGAGGGCAGTAAAACTAACAATATCTTCAAAGTGCAACATTAATATCCTGCAATCCTGTCAAGCTATGACAAAACCAGGAGTGACAGACTGCTCTGCTTAGTGGACGTAACTGCTAAACTGGAAAGAGGTGGGGGAGGGACTATTATGTACTAGCAAGCAATTGTGTTTTACAGTTTCTTTTTTTTTTTAATGGCTGGCTGGACTTTGTTTTCAATTTTTTTCTTTTTTAAACCAGGTGGAGGTATCAATTGTGTATCCGCCTGAGTCCAACATAAAAATATTCATTCAATTTTCAAAATCAATCAGTACAGATAGACCTACAATGAGTAATTCATGAGCATACACAAAATCTAAAATTATTAAGAAACAATAAGAAACCAGACCCCTTTGTTATTAAAACCATACAGTTGAAAGAAACAACATTTATATAAACCGTGTAATTCCATACAAAGAACCTGATCATGAATTCCCAATGAATAAACCAAGCTGCATACCGATGAAAATAATTTTTTCAGATACAAAGCCTCCTTCACACTGACAAGTTTCCATAGGCGAAATGAAAACAAGATAAAGAAGCTTTACAAATATCATTATTGCAATTTTTAGGTTTTACGATTAAATTGTACACGCACATTGTATAGGTTTAAAGCTGATTTCAACACTGAAAGGTTATTTTTAAAAGTGCGACCTCTAAATATAACACCTATCTCTGATAGAACTGAGCCAGATGGCTGGATAGCCTTAAAACTTCCCAAAACAATCCATTTGGAACTGCCCTTCAGGGATTCAAACCAGGACCATCCGCACCATAGTCCAGTATGATACCAACAGAACTAATACAGTGCCATGCATTTAAATGCTTTGCCAAGTGCTACAAAAGAAAAAAAGAAACTTTTAACAAAACTTCTTAAACAGTTTTCAAGAACTTCAATAGTGCCACAGAAACAGGGAAAATATGTAGAAAACATATATACCCAGTATGACCATTAGAACATCTTGAGCTGGAAAGTAAAGACACCATAGACATAAAGATTTAAAAGGTGAACAAAAAGCAGAGTATTTGATCAATACTGTATTGGCCTCTCTGCTCTACTGGATAGCTAAGTAACAAATAAATCCAAATACACCCAAAGCTTCAATCATACTGACATCCATCAGTAAGAATTCTGCATCTACCTGTCGTATTGTACAAGTGCCAAAAGTGTATTACTGCCAGTAAGAACACCACTTGGACAAGCAAATACTCTATACATGTGAAATTTTGCCGGGTGCGAACAAATGAATCACACTCTGCATTCTGAATCATTGTTTTCGTATGGAATTTTGTAACAACTGAATAGCCCTACGGGTGTTCAAAGCAACTAGTCAGGACTTCTTTTCACCTACCTTATACTAAAGGATTAAGTCTACTCATCCAGTTATTGATTAACGAACATCTACTGCAGTGTTTTCTTTAAAGAAATAAGAACTTGTGATTTTATGTGAGCTACAACAAATGAAAAAAACTGATTACAAACACATTTTATTATATTCCCGGTATTGTTTCAATCACTTCAACAGCTTATTATTACCAAGATACTTAGCATGTTTGTTATTTATGTCCAATTCTTGTGCTCACTCTTTCTTTCTTTAATTTTCCATTGGAAGTTGTTTTTTTCCCAAAGAAAAATGACACTTTGATGTTGCAATTTTCATTTTCACCTTCAGATTTTCAAAAGTTAATATACAGGTGCATAATTTAGTTGAATAACAATAAAGTACACACAAGTTAAAAAGATACAGTTGAGACAGTACAAGAAGTAAGCTTAATCTGCCCCTTCAGGACAAGCGCAACCAAAGAAAGAAAAAATATAGACATATGTTATAACTGTTTCTAATTATAAAAGCAGATATTATCCTGATTCTAACAGTAAAATGCTTATTTATTTCATAGAAGAAAACATGTGTTGAATCTGTAAACAATCTAATAAACTGATGACAAGAAAGAAAAAGGTATCATCTGACAGTGTTTAATTTTATTGTAATGGTACAAAGAGCAAAGCTTTAACAGTACAATTCTGGAGTTTTATTGTAAAAGACAGTGTATCTTACGAAATTGAGTTATGGATTCCACCTGATAGTTTAAAACACAGCACACATTTCTGCCATAGTCTGGTATCAATACCTTCATAAACAAGGTGATGAAAATGTTTTCAAGATATTTAAAACAACTGGCTGTTGGGAGGCAAAAATGGGGGGGGGGGGGGGGGGGGCTCTCCTGAACATATTACAAAACTGAATATACTGTCATTTATTAAAATAAAACTCCAGAATTCAAAACAAAAAATATGCGAGATTAGAAATAACATTTAGAATTGCCCTAAACTGCTATACGAAAATGAAAAGAATGACTAATCATGAGCTAATTTAATTGTGATTTATCAACAATTTCCAATGTCTTTCTCATTTAGGCATTTTGATACGAGTGCAGTATTCTTTATTTAGTACAAAAAGATATCCACCTCAAGAGAAAAATAAAAGAAAAAAAAAGAAATGTGCTTTGTAAGGGGGAACTCTCAAGGGTTGCAAGCTAGAGAAAGAAAATGTCCAACAAACCCTAGAACGTCAAAAGCTGCAACAACACTTGTGTCTCCTGTTACTTTTGGGTCGAACCAGTTATCTGATGCTACAATACTCGTCTGATAATAGCCCTTTTTATCCAAAGTTTTCCGTAAAATCTGCAATAATGCCAAAAATATTTTACTAAATAACCCAATTAACCAAAAAAAATGTTTGGCTCAACATTTTTTTTTTTTTTAAACATATTTTCAAAAGATCTCATAAATAGGGCATTGATCAACATTTTTCATTTTTAAAAATCCACACAAACTGAAGGAAATAATGAGAAGAAAATATGCTGTAGTCTACTGTTGTCAGCATGCACGTGTGTAGTCATATTAGGTGAATCATGCACTAAACCTTAGTTAAACCATACCTGAATGTCTTTGACTTGACACGGACTAAAGATACAGACAAGGAAACTTAAATACTGAATAAAGTTAAAGATTTAAATTATGAAAATGGTAAGAGGAAATTATCACAACTAAAATCTAAAGACAAGTAGCCAACATAATGCATTATTCTGAAAAATATTTTTTAAAGCTATAACATTCTTTGGATTTTCAAAAGGGCTTTAATTCATTTTGTTGTGATATTTCTAAGGCTACAACTTTAAACCTGTAATAATAATAAGTTTAAAATTTCCTTTCTTTGAGATTCATACTTTCAATCTATTTGTTTGTTTTAGTAGAGGTTTTACGGCGCTCGCAACTGCATAAGGTCGTCATATGAGCACCAGAAGATTAGACGTGTTACAAGAGAGTAACAAACATAAAAAAGAAGGAGGGGAGAAAAGGATGACAGATGTTTGATAAGAAGGATTATGGAGCAAACCACACCAGAGCACCCGCCACAACCCACTTTCAATCTATGCCCAACATATAGTTCTAAGACCCACCATGCAATGGCTGCTATTATCTATTGTTATATGAACAACTAACAGTATGGTTTGAACACCAGATATCTCCATTAGATTGGAAACAAAAAGACATGAAGATTGAGTGTACTTCTCATACCTTCAAGTATTCTGTGTCGCAATATCTTTCATTCCAGATCTGAAACGAGCAAAGAGATGCAAGTGGATGCTCAATGAATACAGAATAGAACATTCGTCTTCCAGTACCAATTTTTGTTGTCCATACCTTTATTGCATTGGTATTATTTAAGCTAGACATCATCTCTCATTCAAATATTAATAAATCAAGCATATTTAAAAAGAGAATAAAACATTTAGATGAAAAAAGAACACACAACATGAATTTGGTCTTTCATTTTACAATTCTGAAAAAATCCTCTCTCAATAAGTTTAAGAATTTAAAATTTGACATAAATGTTGCCTACGATAGCATCAGTGAAATAAGTAACACTTATCAGGCTTGAAATTTGTGCGCTCAGTGAGATATGTACATAATTTGCAATAGGCCTTTTTACAACATTAAATATGAGTGTTTGATTCCATTTAATTTATTAACTGAAAGTAGAGATCTCTGTCAAACATAATCACGGTTATACATATGTGTGTGTGTGTGTGTGTGTGTGTGTGTGTGTGTGTGTGTGTGTGTGTGTGTG